GCCGCAAGGCCTGAAGCCGGATCATCTGGCACCGACGACGTAGCCGCCGGAGCCGGAGCTTGAGCATTCTCAGCTTGAGCTTTCTCAGCCTGAGCTTGCGAAGCCTGAACATCAGCTTTCGGTGCTGGAGCTCGAGGAGCCGGATCTGGGGCGTGGCCCAACCTTAGATATATCACAGCACGAGCCAATTGAGTTCCTCACAATAATATCGCGACTAGGGTTGCGCATGGTGTTCTGCGGCTTAGCTGCAGCTTGCGCAAAAGCTCCTTCGCCTCGGCCCGCTTGTCTGCCGCCAGCGGAACCACTCGCGCCTTCATCTGTTCCAGTTTCTCGTGAGTCTCCTCCATCCGGTCTTGTACGACCAGTCTGTAAAGGCGAGCATTCGGATCATTCTTGAGGTTCGGATCTTGTTTGTAGCCTCAGATATGGAAGCGATTCGCTCCCGCTTGAGCACACGTACACCGGCCCCTAAGATTAATCTTCAGCCTTGCCACGTCCGTCAACCAGCGCTTCTTGGATCGCAGACTTGGCTTTCTCGGTGTTGTTATGATAGTAGGCAAGGACGCCCTCTGCAGTGAGGAAATCGCTGAGGTGCGTCTGCTTCCTGCACGATCAAAGAGATGGATCTGAACATTATATTCTGCGTGCAGGGATCAAAGCTTTGGCAGAACCGAGGGAGACTGATGACTGGAATGGAAATATCTAGGCTTTATTTCATTCTGGAGTATTTGAAGCATCTGAGCACCGGGCTCCATGTGGAGCTCCGAAAACAGGATTTCGGCGGTCACCGTTGCAACGTTGGGGTTGCTCCACCAGCGTTTCAACAACTCCTTGCGGACGGTTCCGCCAGCCTCCCAAGCCTGGACCATTTCCATGCTTGCTCGCTGGTAGTTGTGACAGCACCTTCTGCAGTTCTGGGTGAGCGTTGCCCACTCCTCCGGCGTTGCCTGAGCAGGCACACATATATGAAAAAAGACGTTTGTCTCCAATCCATAGAATCTACCATAGAACAACGATACATGATGCGCTCAAAGGCACAGTTTCCCAGCTGCGGCCCTCCTGAGTGCTGGCACCACTGTCGCCTTTCTGGGTCGAACCGAGGGAAGCCTCTGAGGGTGCGCTCCGGGGGGACGGCGTAGCAGCTGGCTCGAGCTTAAGTGCTTTCAAAGGTGTCACCGGCCCCGGCCCGGAGGGGCTGTCCTTTGAGTCAAGGAAGCTCACACTACGCTCCTCGAAGGCACTGGAGCGCTTTAAAGCGGAGGGTCTTGGCGAAGACGGGTCGGTGCTGCCAGTAGCTGCCTGCTCTTGCCCCTGCAGCTGAAGCTTCAGCTGCCGTACCTTGGCCTTTCGTTCCTCTAGCAGCCGCAGCGTCTCCTCCTTTCGCCTCTGCCGCTCGTTTAGCTCCACAGCCTCCTTCTTTTTGCGAAGCACCTCCAACTCCGCGTTGGCGTGCAACCTCTGCTCCGCAAGCTGAGCCTGGAAGGCAGCTTCCTCCCGGGCAGCACGTTCTGCCTGGGCCTTAAGCCGTGCCTCCGCACGAGCCTTCAGCTCTGCCTCGAGAGCCGCCTGCTCTGCCTCCAGAGCCTCCCGAGCCTTCTGCAGCTCTGCCTCCTCGTCACGAGCCTTCTGCAGTTCGGCCTCCTCACGAGCCTTCCGCAGCTCTGCCTCGTCACGAGCCTTTTGCAGCTCTGCCAGCTCACAAGCCTTCTGCAGTTCTGCCTCCTCACGAGCCTTCTGCAGCGCTGCTGCCTCACGAGCCTTCTGCAGGTCTGCCTCCTCGTCACGAGCCTTCTGCAGCTCTGCCTCACGAGCCTTCTGCAGCTCTGCCTCACGAGCCTTCTGCAGCTTTGCCTCCTCAAGAGCCTTCTGCAGCTCTGCGTCCTCAAGAGCCTTCTGCAGCTCTGCCTCACGAGCCTTCTGCAGCTCTGCCTCACGAGCCTTCCGCAGCTCTGCTTCGTCACGAGCCTTCTGCAGCTCTGCCTCCTCACGAGCCTTTTGCAGCTCTGCCTCGTCACGAGCCTTTCGCAGCTCTGCCTCTTCACGAGCCTTCTGCAGCTCTGCCTCGTCACGAGCCTTCTGCACCTCGGCCTCCTCACGAGCCTTCTGCATCTCTGCCAGCTTGTCACGAGCCTTCTGCAGCTCTGCCTCGTCACGAGCCTTCCGCAGCTCTGCCTCCTCGCGAGCCTTCAGCTCTGCCTCGCGAGCCTTGCGCTCAGTCTCTGAGCGAGCCCTGGACTCAAAGTCCTGCAGGAGAAGCTCGGCTTTCTTCTCTGCAACCAACCGGTCCAAGCGTTCCAGCTCCGCGCGTCGAGCAGCCACATCCCCCTCGGAAGCTTCTGAGCGGGGCTTCTTGCTGCTTTCAAGCTCCGTGGCGGTCAAACCGCCCACATCTGTGGACACTTCATCCACAGTCCTTTTCGGCTGCTGCTTGTCCTCCTGCTTTGCCAATGCCGTCTTTACGACATTTTCAGCAGCCTGGCCCGCTTCCAAGCGCTTCTCCTGCACCTGTTGTTCCAGGGCCAACTCTTCGTCCATCAACCGCTCGAGCTCTTGCTCTAAGTTGTCAGGGCCATCCTGTCATACATGCAGACACATACTGCGATGTAACTGCTATAGAGGAACGAGACCTCAGGATTTCATTAGAGAAACAATAGGAGGCACCGAGCAAACCAAAACTGCCAGCCGCCCATGCCGGAATGGGCCGGAATCGCGTCGGAAAACCAGCCCTGAGATTTCAAGTCAATCACTTCTCCTCATCCACTTGCGTATCCGCGAACGCGGGTGGTTCCACAGGGGCAGCCGCCCGCGGAACTTGAGCATCCTCCCCTGCTATGACAAAGCAGAGGCATCATGCATATCATAAAAAAAAACGCAGAGGACAAGCAATTTAGGTTGACACCAGGGTCTCATATCAGAGGTTGGCCTTCATCCAACCCCAAAGTTGATGCACCATCTGTCACCTAGGCTGGGTGATGTGACGTAGCATGGTTTTGTGAAGCTCGTTTTGTTTTGAGCCGTTTAAAGTGGAGGGTTTAGGGTTTGGGGGTTTTAAGGGTTTGATGGTAAGGGTAACATGAAAAGAGAGAGAGAGAGAGGTATGTTTATGTATGTATGTATGTATGTATGTATGTATGTATCTATGTATGTATGTATGTATGTATACATACAGACATACATATACATGCATATATATTGTACAAACCAACATGCCACTACATGCGTACCAGAAGCAGAAGCATCGTGAAGCTCTTGCTTCACCTGTCGCAGTCGCTCTCTGAGCCGTGCCTGCACAAAGTGAAGAAATGATAGGGAATAAATAATAATAGAAAGGACAACCCGTTAGCCTGATCAACTAGATCGTGATCCAAAGCTTGGAGGCCCGCCATCAAAGTGGCGCAGGACCTTTGCAGATTTGTTGTGTGCTACAATCTCATTAAATTTCATATGACAAAAGCATGCACAAAACAAAAAACCAAGCGCCACACCCCTGGGAGTCCAGATTGGACATGACCCCCGATGATCCGGCTTCAGGCCTTGCGGC